GGAGGAGGAGGAGATACCCCACCCTTCACTCAGAGTCTCAGAGCGGCTTCCAAACTCCTTTCCCTTTTTTTTGCAGAGGAGAGCGCCGGCCTGGAGACGACGACGACGACGAAGAAGAAGAGGAGGAGGAGGAGGAGGAGGAGGAGGAGATTGGATTTATACCCCGCCCTTCACTTGGAGTCTCAGAGCGGCTCACAATCTCCTTCCCCTCCCCCTCCCCACAATAGATACCCTGGGAGGTGGGTGGGGCTGAGAGAGCTCTGACAGAAACGGCTCTTTTTCAAGGACAGCTGTGCCAGAGCTTGTGACTGATCCAAGGGTCACATCAGCAGGATCAAGTGGAGGAGTGGGGACTCAAACCCGCTTCTCCCAGATTAGAGTCCGTGCACTTAACCACTAGAAGAAGAAGAGAATAGATTGGCTTTATACCCCGCCCTTCACTATCCGAAGGATTCTCAGACTGGCTTACAAACTCCTTTCCCTTCCCATCCCCACAGCAGACACCCTGTGAGGTAGGTGGAGCTGAGAGAGCTCTGACAGAAACTGCTCTTTTTCAAGTACAGCTGTGCCAGGACTATGGCTTGCCCAAGGTCATCCAGCAGGTGCAAGTGGAGGAGTGGGGAATCAAACCCGGTTCTCCCAGATTAGAGTCCACGCACTTAACCACTACACCAAACTGGCTCTCCCCAGTGAGGAGAGGCTGAGGGACTTGAGAATGTTCAGTCTGTAGAAGGGGAGGTTGAGGGGGGACAGGATGGCTCTCTTGAAGTCTTTGGCCCCGGTCACACGGAGGATTTGCCGCGCGAAAGGCACGAATGTCAGGCGGATTTTCGGAGCGCAATCACACCGCAACATCTGGGAAGCGTAGCGCACCCGTGGCGTCCCGCCAAAGATGCGCCGTAAAAAGGTACCCCGAAAAGTGCACTGGTATCTGGGAAACGTGGGGCAGGGGCGGGCATCTGATCACGGGAGCACCCATATCCCGTGGCATCCGGCGCCCGTCGACATCCCGTCGCAAACCGGATGATTTTCGTAAGCGCATGTGGACAAACACGTAACTGCCGCGGCGCTTCTTTGCCACTCTCCACCATCGCCGTCTGATCGCCAGCTAACAGCCTCAGCACGCAGACTCAGGGGACCGTGTGATCGGGCTACCGCGCTTTATTTTGCTCCGGGGCGAACAGCCACGCCTCACACACACACACACGTTATCTGGCCCGTGTGACCGGGACCTTTGAAGGGCTGTCCCTTAGAGGAGAAGGGCAGGGAGCTGTTCCTGCCGGCAGCAGAGGAGAGGACTCACAAGAAGGGGTCTGAATGAAGTACATAAATAAATAAGACTTAAGAGTGAACGCCAGCATTCTCCAGTTCAGGTGATCCTGGAATACACAGGAAATCCTTGATAGTATTTCTAAGTCTTGGGAAACACCTACAGGTTTACAGCGGTATAAAGAGTAAATTCTTATTGGTCACACATTCAATGTTTTGCATCCCTACAGAGGGTAAGAATACAGCTCTACCTTACAGGGATGTCGTAAAGACCACAGTGAGATTTATCAGAGTGCTGTACAGGGGTAGGGCTGCCAAATGTGGGCGGGGGCGGGGGCGGCGAATCCCCCGCTTTGAAGGGCCGATTTCCGACGCGGCGGAATCGGGCCCCAGGGGAACCCCGCCCCTGGCGTGCGCGTAACTAGCAAGTGACGTAGGCACGCCGGGCACGCTGGGGGCGGGGCCACGGCCATACATGGGAAAACTCTATGGTTTTCTTTGTATGGCCATGGCCCCGCCCCCAGTTTGCCCGGCGTGCCTACGTCACTTCCGGGTGACGCACACACCCCCGACACTGGCCGGGAACCCCCGCTCCCGGCGAAGACGGATTTGGCAACCCTATACAGGAGTCATTTCCTGCAGGAGCAGAGCTCTGGTAGTAAAGAGCCCAGGGGGCGGGGACATGCAACAAGCCCCACCCCCTGCTCCCAGAAGCCCCCAGTCAGAGCCAGAAGCAGCCAGGTAAGTTGCAGAGCCCCCCCCCAGTCCAAAACAGCCAGTGATACCTTTAAGACCAAGTTTTATTCAGGTACAAGCTCTCCCTCCTCTGTGAAGGCAGATCTGCACTTTCTCTCCCCCCCCCCCCAGCTAGCAATCCAAAACAGTCCAGTGGAGCCTGAGCGGTGGGTGTTGCCTTCTGACACACTTCCGATGATGTCAGGGGGTGTGGCATATGCAAATAAGTTATGCTAATGAGCTATGCTAATGAGCTCCTGCACCTCTTTTTCTACGAAATGACCCCTGGTGCTGTACAGTCACTAATGATTCTCAGGATCACTCTCTGCTACAAAGATAGATCCAGGTGGGCAGCTGTGTCAGTCTGAAGCAGCAGAACAGAATTCGAGTCCAGCGGCACCTTTAAGACCAACAGAGTTTAATTCTGGATATAAAAGCTTTTGTGTGCATGTATGCACACTTCTTCAGTATCTGCATGCACTCTTCTTTAGGTATAAGCTTTTGTGTGCGTGCCCATGAAAGCTTATACCTCGAATAAAACTCTGTTGGTCTTAAAGGTGTCACTGGGCTCAGTTTGGTGTAGTGGTTATGTGCGCGGACTCTAATTTGGGAGAACCGGGTTTGATTCCCCACGCCTCCACTTGCAGCTGCTGGATGACCTGGGGCAAGCCATAGTTCTGTCAGAGCTGTTCTTGAAAAAGAGCAGTTTCTGTCAAGAGCTCTCTGAGCCCCGCCTACCTCACAGGGTGTCTGTTGTGGGGAGGGGAAGGGAAAGGAGTTTGTAAGCCGCTCTGAGACACCTTTGGGTCGTGAAGGGCGGGGTATAAATCCAATCTCTTCTCTTCTTCTTTTACCTCACAGGGTGTCTGTTGTGGGGAGGGGAAGGGAGAGGAGTTTGTAAGCCGCTCTGAGACACCTTTGGGTAGTGTAGGTCGGGGTATAAATCCAATCTCTTCTTCTCCTTCTTTTACCTCACAGGGTGTCTGTTGTGGGGAGGGGAAGGGAAAGGAGTTTGTAAGCTGCTCTGGGACACCTTTGGGTAGTGAAGGGCGGGGTATAAAGCCAATCTCGTCTCTTCTTCTTCTTCAAATTTTGTCCTGTGCCACAAAGCTTCTCTTTCCACACCCAGGAAATGTGAAATCTGCTTCCAGAAGTGCAGGGTTCTCTATAAATTAGGAAATTCCCTACTACGGCATAAAGGCATATTAACTGGTCCCCCCCCCCAGTTGATTGGGCCTTAGCTCCCCTATTAACCCGCACCGGATGGGCACAGAACGGATCCTTTCCCACTGGGGACCAAAGAGGATGGCTGGCGGTGTCCCTGTCAAGCCTCCTGTGCCTTCAGGGGGTGGAGGACAGACACGAATTCCACAGCTAAGAGCTTTTCCATGCATGGAGAGACAGCTGTAGGGTGCATTTCTCTTGCCAGATTTCTGCTTGCCTTGTAGCTGGTGGAGGCCAGGTGGTTACGAGCCCCGGGAAACAGGGAAAGAAGCCAAAGACTCCTCCTAGCCGTTACCCCCAGCTTCAACACTTCACATTCTGGGTATCACGGCCCTTCACGGGTTAGATGGTCTTTCCTTGTTTGGTGCCACCTTGGGTTCAGCCGTCTTCAAAATTACTGTAGGGTGTGTGTAAAATGCTCTCTAGAAGGGAGAGGGCTTCGCAGCTCGTTCCTGAGGCCCGCCAAAGACCTCAGAAGACTGGGCAGACACACTATGCTGCGTCAATATTTACATCTCTCGCATCCTCCGGCTTTGCGTCTAAATCCCTTCGGAGGCCATTATGGACTCAAGTTCAGAAAAAGCCTTTGGCTGCCTTCAGATTCAAGAGCTCCCTGGTCAAGTCGCTTCCAGCTCTAGCCTAGGGTCTGATGTTTTGGTTCAATTTTGTCATCGTCGTCGTCCTTTGCCACAAATGTCAGGGTCGCCATAAAATCACGGCGCATCGCCAAAGGGAAGCAGTTTCCATTGTTGACACAGATGTCGGTACTCGGGGCTTTTTTGTAGAAAAAGCCCAGCAGGAACTCATTAGCATAATAGGCCACACCCAACAGCAGAGACTCATTAGCCGATTAGGCCACGCCCTGAGATAGCAGCTTATTAGCATATTAGGCCACACCCCCACATTACCAGAAGTGTGGTCATCCAGCCACACCCACCTTTTGCTTCTTATTCTGTTTACCTTGTTTGTTGTCAAAACCCAGGGCTTTTTTTGTAGCAGGAACCCCTTTGCATGTTAGGCCACACACCCCTAAGGTAGCCAATCCTCATGAGTTTCTGCTGTTGGGTGTGGCCTATTATGCTAATGAGTTCCTGCTGGGCGTGGCCAACTCGGGAGCCAGCCAGAACTCCGTTCCTGTGCGTTCCTGTCCAAAAATAGCCCTCTCGGTACTTACCTTCAAAGGCCTATACAGCCAGGGGCCAGCATACTTTCGAGACTGCCTCTCCCCATATGAGCACCGTAGAGCACTTAGGTCCACCAGTCAACATCTTTTGGTGGTCCCCCGGCCCCAGGGACGTCCAACTTGGCTTGATCAGGGCCAGGGCTTTTTCTACCTGCCCGGTAGAATGAGCTCCCGAGTGAGATCAGGGCCCTGCGGGATTTATTACAATTCTGCAGGGCCTGCAAGACGGAGCTCTTCCGCTGGGCTTTTGGTTGAGGCACCAAACGTCCCCCTCCTGGGGTCGCCCCCCACTTATAGCCTGGGTCCACCAATCAATATCTTTTGGTGGTCCCCGGCCCCAGGGACGTCCAACTTGCCTCGATCCACCCTACCTGGTGGAATGAGCTCACAAGTGAGATCCAGACCCTGCAGGATTTATTACAATTCCACAGGGCCTGCAAGACGGAACTCTTCCACCGAGCTTTCGGTTGAGGCAGGAGGTGTCCCCCTCCTGGGGACGCCCCCTGCTTATAGCCTGGGTCGGCTCCATTTACAGCTTGGGTTGGACCCTATTTACAGCCTGGGCCGGGAACCCCAAACTTTATCAACCATGGAGGTATCTGGCTTTTACCAGAGTTGTATGTTTCACATGGTTTAACGTGGTTTTAATTGTATTGAATTTTATATGGTGGTACTGTATGTACAGCGTTCTGTGTGCCTTGGTGTTTAGTCATGCCGGCCACATGACCACAGAAACGTCTTCGGACAGCGCTGGCTCTTCGGCTTTGAAACGGAGATGAGCACCGCCACCCTAGAGTCGGACTCAACTGGCTTTCGAGCAAGGGAACCTTTACCTTTACCTTTACTGTATGTATATTGTTGGAAACCTAACCCTGAGCCTATCAAGGGGAGGGCAGGATACGAATGCAAAAAATAAATTAAAAAAAAGACCAACAGGGGGTGTTGATCAAGTTTGGGGGGGGTCCATCACCAGCCATGATTCAGAGGCAGAATGCCCCCTGGTTCTATAACTTATCCATTGAGGGCTGTTACCTGAAGGCCCCACTTATGGACTCCCTGGTGGCCTCTTCTTGGGCTACTGATGAACACAGGAAGGACTGCTGGTCTGATTCACTACGTTCTTTGAGACTCTTTGATGCACCAGTAAGCAAAACTTTGGGAGCGACAGAGATGTGAGACCACCTTGTCAAACAGGTGGTGTCTACCTGGTGACACAGGGGGTATTCATAGCACGAGTAGCCAATCAGAGCTCAGGTTACTGCCAGCCAATTGAGGGGCTGGTCTCCTGCTTTTCTTTCTCAGCTTGGTCGGTTACCCTCTGCTGGGCTAGCTTTGGATGACGCGGGCCTGAGCATCCTAAGTTTGAGGCCTGTGTCTCCTGACAGTTCCGGCTCGCTGGCTTCTTCGTCCTTACGTATCAACATGGGGTCTCTATCAGTCAGTTGCAGTCAGTGCAGCGTGTCAACATCCTTAACGTCACAACGGCGTAGCTGTTCTTTTCAGGCCTGTAGGAACTCTGCGACGGAGAGGGGAAGAGGAAGAAACCGGTGGAAGTGGCAGCAAGAACCACATTGCAGTAAGAACCACGTTGTCGTTTCTCAGCCTTGTCGGCCAATCAGGTTACCTGCAGGTTGGCAATAGGTAAAGGCAAAGGTTCCCCTTGCTCGAAAGCCAGTCGAATCCGACTCTAGGGATGCGGTGCTCATCTCCGTTTCCGAGCCAAAGAGTCAGCGCTGTCCGAAGACTGCTCCATGGTCATGTGGCCGGCATGACTAAACACCAAGGCACATGGGATGCTGTTACCTTCCCACCGAAGTGGTACCTATTTATCTCCTTGTAATGTCTCGCCTTCGAACGGCTAGGTTGGCAGGAGCTGGGGCCAGAGACGGGAGCTCACGCTGACACGCAGCACTCGGGTCTCGAACCGCTGAGCTACCGACCTTCCAGTCTGCAACTCAGCGTCTTAACCTCTGAGCCAGCGCGGCCCTTAAGGTTTGCAATATCCTGTGGTAAATTGGGGTAAATGTGCGAGGCAGCTGACTCAGGCCCATAGCCAGGATTTTTAAATTCGGGTGGCATCTTGCACCCGCCCCCCCCCCCCGGGAGCGCCACAAATAAAATAAAAAAATTGGAAGTCCGGGGGGGGGGGGCTTGGCAGTAAATTAGGGGGCCAGGCCCTGAGATGCCCCACTGTAGTTACGAGTCTGAGCTGACTGAGAGAAGAGCCCAGCTCAGGTCTGTAAAAAACAAAACAAAAAAACCCGGACAGCCGACCAATGCTCCCTCTAAGCTGTAGAGCCTCGCGAGCAAAAATGCTACTTTGTGAGCAACTGGCATTAAAGTTGTGAGCGAGCGATTTGGCTGCTACATAAACTTAGTTTGCTCTGGAGCCAACCTTCCTGAGCTGAGACAATATCCATATTTCCAAATGGCAAGATTTCCAGGTCTTCTTATGTTCGGACTGTGAGTGTGTTGCAGGGTGTGATGCTGTCCGCCGCCTGTTTAATCCATGCCCTTTTGAAAGCGCTGATATTGGAGTAAGCTATCTGGTGCTTGCGTCTCTCTCTCTCTCTCTCTCTCTCTCTCTCTCTCTCTGTTGCCAATCCATTTTGTCTGGCTCTGGCACTGATTGCTTTTGCCTTCTGGATGCTCCATAATAACAGCAGCAGTGAGGCATTTACACCTGCTAGGAAATAAGAGCAAGCGAGAGAGAGATTATATATGTAGAACGAGAAGCCGAAGCCGGGGAGAGGCACGGAAGGACAACAGCACAAAGAGGGAAAAACGGACGAGAGGAGTGAGGTGTTCACACCCCTCTTTTTGACAACCTCCGTTCCCCTCTCCATCATCTTTATTGTTTTCGTCCATTTGGGATTCTTCCTTTTTTTATATAAAATCGTGCCCGTTGTCAGACGGACAAGCCCTCCCCCGGGAACCGCATGCTGCAGATGGTCAGGACCCTTGCCCAGTTCACAATCGCATTGGAAGACATGCGAGAACTCGGGGACGCCGCCGACACCACCTTGAGCCCCCCTTCCTTGGTCGGGGGAGCGGCCGAGGAGACCCCGGAGAAGAACAGCAGCAGCCCGACGAAGAACGGCACGGCAGAGGTGATGAGGAAAGGGGGCGGGGTGGCAGGGAAGGGAAAGATGGTTGGCAGAGTCTGGCCAGGGGATTGCAGTCCCGGAAACGACACGGCGCGGGGATGGGATTAGCCGGGTGGTTTCCCCCCCAGCCTGGGGTGGCCGTCGGCATGCCCTTGGTGTAAAGCCACCCTGCGTGGGCACTTATTTGTCGAGCACCATCTGTGTTTTTGCAAACGAGAGAGAATGCGGTTATCTAGATCCCCTAGAGATGATTGCTGTGACTGAAGATCATTGCCCCACCAAGCGAGGGGCAGTAATTTTAGGCTCCACTGGGAATAACGACAGAGCGTTGGGGGGTCTCGCCGCCTTGGAATCCCGGGTGCGTGGGCTGGGGACGTGCGGGCCGAGGAAGTGAAGGGTAGATCGACCAATCTACAGTGGGAGCCTGCTTGGTTGAGGGGGGCGTCCGTGGTGACGCCGTTTCTTGGAGGTTTGGTGTTGCCTAGGCCTGGCTTGCCAGGAAGGTGGGCTAGCTGGTGCTCACGGCTTCAGGTGCCCCGCCCCCCTGTTGGGCATCCTTCCACGCTGAGCAGAGGATGGTCTGATATTTGGAAGCAGTTTTCGCGGAGACGTCGAAATATTCGTAGAAAGCACCGAAGAATGCGTAGGAAGGTGCTGGTTCGGAGTGCCAGGTGGATTGATCAGTTTCCGACAGTCGCTGAGGTTGTCTTCGGGAGGGTCGCCTTTGGAAGCATATATATGAGATCAGTTTCAGAGGGTATCTGCGTTGGTCTGCAGTAGAAGACCATGATTCGAGTCCCAGCAGCATCATAGAGACCAACAAGATTTTTGGGGTATGATATTTCGAGAGCCAAAGCTCCCTTTGTCTGATACTGCCTTCGTGTCTGACGAAGGGAGCTGTGACTCCCGAAAACTCACACCCCGAAAATGTTGTTGGTCGCTTAAGAGAAGAGAAGAGATTGGATTTATACCCCACCCTTCACTACCCAAGGGAGTCTCAGAAGGGCTCACAAACTCCTTCCTCTTCCCCTCCCCACAACAGACACCCTGTGAGGCAGGCGGGGCTGAGAGAGCTCTGACAGAAACTGCTCTTTTTCAAGGACAGCTCTGACAGAACTACGGCTTGCCCAAGGTCATCCAGCAGGTGCAAGTGGAGGAGTGGGGAATCAAACCCGGTTCTCCCGGATTAGTGTCTGCGCACTTAACCACTACGCCAAACTTAAGATGCTACTGGACTCGAATCTAACCCTCCATATATTAGATCACTGTTTTATCTTCTAGATGAATTAATCCGGTCTGCCTACCGTTCCTAGGTGGCATTGGGCATGACTAGATTCCTCTCTTCCTCACTGTCTTCCTCCTGGGAACCTGTGGCCCTCTGAAGAGTCTCTGCCCAGCTCTATTACTTTTGGTCCGCCAATAGAATCGCCTTTGCTAAAGATAATTTCAGGGGATAGCTGTGTTGGTCTGCAGTTGGATAGTTAGGTTCCAGCCCAGTAGCACGTTAGAGACCAACAATCCTCTTGATTGAGGCGGAGGGGAAATCCTTGGACACACCCACGCACCGGGCTGAATAGGGACGTAGGACTCTCATTTCACTACGGATGCTAATTTTCTACCCCCAAGCATTCCACCTCTGCTGTAATCAAAGAATCACTGAATCATTGAATCATAGAGCTGGAAGGGATCTCCAGGGTCATCTAGTTCAACCCCCTCGCGCAGTGCAGGCAATTCACAAATACCTCCCCCTCCACACGCCCAGGGACCCCTGCTCCATGCCCAGAAGATGACAAAAAACCTCCAGGATTCGTGGCCAATCTAGCCTGGAGAAAAATTGCTGCCTGACCCCAAAGGGGCGACCAGCATTTCCCTGGGTGTGAAAGAAAGGGCCACGAGAACTAAGCACTGAGGCAACCCTTCCTGCCCTCCCTCTTGTGATCGGCCTAAGTTTACAGAATCAGCATTGCTGTCCGATGGCCATCGAGCCTCTGTTTGAAAACCTCCCAAGAAGGGAGTACTCCCTCCCGAGGAAGCCTGTCCCATTGAGGATCCGCTCTGTCAGGAAGTTCTTCCTGAGCTTTAGCTGAAAACTCTTCTGATTTAATTTCAACCCGTCGGTTCTGGTCCGACCTTGTGGGGCAACGGAAAACGACTCCGTAATCAAGCTGATTACGAGATGCATGCTCCCTCTGCATCCTTTCCAAGCATTCTTTACAAACATCCCTCCCATCTTCTGACTAGGATAACAGGACTCGGAGATCTCCATTTCTACGCGCGTCTGACGAAGGGAGGTTTTACTCTCATAAGCCCATTTCCCGAAAATCTCTAAGGCTCCACTGGGCTCAAATCTAACCGTACCTTTGCTAAAGAAAGACACCTCCTCTTGGGCTTTTCTTTTTTTGAGTACCTTTCGCACTGTAGAGACTATACCGGGACTAAGGCAAAACATTGCTGATGCCACTAAGATTACTGATGACAGCTGCATCCAGAGAGAAGCACAAATGGTCAGGGCAGTTTAGTGTAGGGGTTTGATTCCCCCACTCCTCCACATGCAGCTGCTGGTGTGTCCTTGGGTCAGTCAGAAGTTCTGAGCTACTCTCTCAAGAGCAGTCCTCGAGAGGGCTCTCTCGGCCCCGCCTACCTCACAGGGTGTCTGTCGTGGGGAGGGGAAGGGAAAGGAGATTGTAAACCGCACTGAGACTCCTTTGGGTAGTGAAGGGCGGGGTATGAATCCAATCTCCTCCTCTCGTCCTCCTCTCCTTGTCATAGAATCATAGAATGTTGGAAGGGACCTTGCAGGTCATCTAGTCCAACCCCCTGCACTCTGCGGGAGCATAGCTGAAAGACAGCCCTACAACATACCCGAAAGATGGTCATCCAGCCTCTGCTTGAAAACGTCCAAAGAAGGAGCACCCACCACCTCCCGAGGCAGTGGTGGATGCTCCTTCGCTGGACGTTTCCTCCTCCTCCTCCTCCTCCTCCTCCTCCTCCTCTTCTTCTTCTTCATCTTCTTCTTCGTTGTCTTGTCTTCTTCTTCTTCTTCTTCTTCTTCTTCTTCTTCTTCTGCTCCTCCAATCACAGTGGTGTGGGAATGGTGTTCACTCCCTTACCCCCTTCCTCTGCCATTTGCTGCCGTCCACCCTGTTCCTCTCCCCTTCTCAGTACACCTGGGCAAAAGTGTTTGGTATCGCCCGATCTCAGAAGCTAAATTGTGTCGGTACAAGTAGGACTCTGCGGGGGAAAGGGATGGCAAACCACCTTTGCGTATCGCTAGCCTGGAAACCCCCTCTCCGGGGCCGCCACCAGTCAGCCACGACCCGACAGCACTTTACACACACACACAAAGAGGAAATGACCGTGAGCCAGATTAGTCATGTGCACCTCAGTATGTCCTCGGCTGGATGGATTCTTCCTTTAGATGCGGCGGCTTCCCGCTGTCCGCGTGAAGGAGAATCCCTGTGTGGCTGCTGTCTTAAGGAATCCTTTGTCGAGCATTCGTCCAGAAGTGATCGTAGATTTCCCGGGCTGTATGGCCGTGGTCTCGGCGTTGTAGGACCTGACGCTCCGCCAGCAGCTGTGACTGGCATCCTCAGAGGTGTAACACGGAAAGATGGAGTACTAAGAACATAAGAACATAAGAGATTCCAATGTTGGATCAGGCCAAAGGCCCATCCAGTCCAACACTCTGTATCCCACAGTGGCCAGAAATACCAGTGCCATCAGGAGGTCCAGCAGTGGGGCCAGGACATTAGAAGCCCTCCCACTGTTGACCCCCCCCCAAGCACCAAGATGACAGAGCATCACTTGCCCCAGAGTCCCTATCTATACCTTGTGGCTAATAGCCACTGATGGACCTCTGCTCCATATGCTTATCTAATTCCCTTTTGAAGCCGTCCATGCTTGTAGCCACCACCACTTCCTGTGGCAGTGAATTCCAAGTGTTAATCACTCTTTGGGTGAAGAAATACTTCCTCTTATCCGTTCTAACCCGACCGCTCAGCAATTTCATGGAGTGCCCACGGGTTCTTGTATTGTGAGAAAGGGAGAAAAGTACCTCTTTCTCTACCTGCTCTTTCCCATGCATAAGCTTATAAACCTCAATCATGTCACCCCTCTCTGTGTCATTTGTCCAGAATTCCACAGTTCCCTCTAAAGGGTCTGTACAGCAGGTCGGTTAAAGAAGGTGGCACGAATCAGGACAGGGAAATTCCAGTTCCTGAAAACTTGATCTTGGCTGCGAGGCGCTTTGATTTTTTAAGAGGTCTCCAGATAGGCTCCTACAGGGATTCCTGGTCAGAACTCCGTCGCCCCAGGATGACTCAACCCCTGGCTTTTAGCCAGGGACTCCAGAAAGGGCAGTCAGGGAATGGATTAATTTTAGCCGGCTGTTGGAAGGCTTTTTCAAGTGGGTGGACTCCCGGGCTGGGGCGGGCGGGCGTGTGGAATGGATTCCTGAAATGCTGGGAGGTTGAGTCAAAAGCGGTGTCCAGAGAGAGCCGTCTTTTCCCAAGCTTTGGTTGGAGATGCTAGGTTGCGAACCTGGGTTCTTCTGCATGCGAATCAGGTGTGCTCAGCAGCAGGGCCCTTGTTGATTAATCTGCCATGGAAATTTTATTTGGCGAGGATCCGAGGGGGGTGGGCTGTCATCTGGTACAGGTCTCTTGACCTACCGTAACGGAGTGTTTGGCCTGGAACACACCCCAGTTCTTTCTTCTAGCGGCACCGTGCAAGGGAAGATCAGTAGTGGCGGACAGGCTTTTCTACAGTTACTGATATCCTTGTTGAATGGCCTCTCTGCCCTGTGGTTGGACCTCCAGAGGAACTGGTTGACCCCTGTGTGAGACGGGAGGCTGGACGAGATGTAGCCTCACTGGTCTGATCCAGCAGGGCTCTTCTGAGGTTCTTATCAGGGGAAGGCCTCGGCCTCTCTGCCCTGTTGTTGGCCCTCTAGAGGAACTGGCTGGCCCCTGTGTGAGACTGGATGCTGGACTAGATAGACCACC